GGTCTGAAGGACACACAAGAAACTTCCAGATTACATCTTATCTCAAAAACATCAAACCAGGAGAAACATGGGGGCTCTTAAATTAAGAGGGAGAGAGTGGACATGCCCTCCTTCTCCCCGACACCTGTACCAAATACTGACCAGCAGTGGGCCTCCAAGCAGTGAGGCTCTGGGAAGAAGAAAAGAGGCCTTGATTGGACACACAGGTCAGATGCTGCCCACCCTGTGCTCCCCACATCGGACCCAGTTCTTGTCCTGGATTGGGAAGAGGCCATCCTGAAAACCAAGATAGCAGGAGCTCCCCTAGAGAGAGGAAGATGTGTGGGCGTTTTCCCAGTGTGAAAGCCAGCATGAGACAAGATTCGTGCAAGTGTCCTTTGCACAGAATGCAGACGGCTGTGAGAAGGTCCACAGAAAGACTTGCAGTTCTTTATCATGGCCTTCTTGATGGCAGACCACCACCAAAGGGCCGCCTCATCTTATGTGTACCCTTGAAGCGAGCCATGGCACTAGTAAACACAGACATATCTGCCACAGGAGAAAGGATTCCATGTGACATTAATGAATATGGTGCACAGGGGTCATGGTAGGGTCTGGTCACCAGCTCACTGAAGATGGCAAGAATGCCACATGGTTGGGTTAATGCCAAAGCATGACAAGCTATATCAGGAAGTGCCTCCCACAATACTGCCCCCTCCCACCCTTACTCCCTATAGTTTAGAGTCAAGGCTGACTTACCTGAATGCACCTGGCAGTGACCCCCGTATGTTCTTTATCAGAAGACTAAGAGGCTCAAAGGAGAGGTAGTATTGAAATAGATCATTAGCAATGCCCCATAAAAATGCTGCCATATCTGGGTCACGCTAGCACCTGTGAGACCATAAAATGTGACTTCTGCAGGAATCAAGAGTACTGCTGCCTCAGGTCAGCACCACAAAGTGTTTTTAGAGGCGAGGACTTCCTGTAGATGCCACATCTACTGCCTACTGCTTCTGACAGGCACCATGGTAGGTAACAGGAGGTTGGCCTGGGCTCAACCTTCCTCCCCTGTCCCTTCGCTGCAGCTCAGGTGTCCCCTGGGAGCTGTCCTTTACTTGTAACCTCCCGCTGACATCCTTCCTCTTCCTTCCAGCTGGCCACAATCTCAGCCCAGCTCTTGTCACCTGTACAAGTCACTGTATAAGCTTCATGGCAAGAACCATCACTCAAGGAAAAAGATCATCCCTCCCTTAATGAAATCTGTCCAGGTCAAGCATCATTAGTGTACATGTGACATGATGACCCTAAAGCTCTTGTCACCTGTCGATGTCACTATGTGTTGAGGAAACACCAGTTACATCCATTTTAAGTAATTAAACATTCTATCTTATTAGGAGGTTACACTCCCCTCCATTAGGACAACGTTGGATGCAGTAATGAACACACCATCTGGTCCTCAGTGTTGCTATCGGCAGCTGGTTTCTGCTATGCCTCATGCTTAAATGAAAATTCCCACATTAACTCAGAGCTTAGAGATTTGATTGTTAACAGAGAAGGCCAGACTCTTCTGAATGAGAGTTAAACATCCTCCCTAGAGTCCTCCTTGTTACTTAGGTGCTTTAGGTCTGTGGATTGTAGTATGGCTATCCTGTATTGTATGGATAATAGCCACTTGTGAGTGAGTATATACCATGTGTGTGTTTCTGGGTCTTGGTTACCTCACTCAAGATGATCTTTTTCAGATCCATCCATTGCCTACAAATTTCATGATGTCCTTGTTTTTAATAGCTGAGTAGTATTTCATTGTGTAGATGTACCACAGTTTCTTTTTTTTTTATGAAAGAGATTAGGTTTATTATGTACAAAACAAATCAAATATATGCTGATTCTGCAATATAAATTTCAGAACTTTTTGGAGTTAAATCTTTGTCAGGTCTATCCATGGGTTATATATATATATATATATATATATATATATATATATATATATATATATATATATAATTTTTAATTATACTTTATTTACTTTGTATCCCCCCTCTAATCCCCCCTCCCTCCTCCCCTCCTAATTCCTCCCTTCCTTCTCCTTCCCCACACACTCCCCTCCCCAAGTCCACTGGTAGGGGAGGGTTTCTTTTTCTTCCTTCTGATCCTAGTCTGTTAGGTCTCATCAGGAGTGGCTGCATTGTCTTCCTCTGTGGCCTGGTAAGGCTGCTCCCCCCTAGGGGGAGGTGATCAAAGAGCAGGCCAATCAATTCATGTCAGAAGCAGTCCCTGTTCCCATAACTATGGAACCCACTTGGACACTGAACTGCCATGGGCTACATCTGTGCAGGGGTTCTAGGTTATCTTCTTTATCTGTTCTTTGGTTGGGCCACAGAGGAAGAGGATGCAGGCAATCCTGAGAAGACATGATAGTCTGTGGCCAGTTAGTTAAGGGAGGAGGGCTCCTCCTTTCTGAGGACTAGGGAGGGAGGTCGGAGGGAAGAAGGTGGGAAGGTAGGACTAGGAAAAGACAAAGGAAGGGGCTATGATCAGGATTGGGATCTAAAGTGAACTGAAAAAAAAAATAAAAATAAAGGCCAGACTCAGAATTCCAGAGAAAGAGCTTGCCCCAAGTGTGAGCTATTTAGTACCAGGAACATGCAGGGCTTCCAAGGTGATATTTCTTAGACAACTTCCAGATGGCCTTGGGAACTGAGTAAATATCTTTCAGAAACCATCTCAGCGCAGGGGCAAAGTTCTGAGGGAAAAACAGGCATGTCATCTGAAAGGCATTGATGTGGGTGTGCCATGCTGGTTGTTTGGGGACATCGCTGATATTATTTTGTAATGTTTGCTTGTCTGCTATGATAAGATGAACTTCATGCTTTTCTGAACTCTCTCACCATCAACAAGCTTTCGAAAATGTCTTGAAATCTTTATAAAAAACAATCTCATCCTTACCGACCTTTCAGGATGCAGGCACAGTACTTTTTATCCCCAAGTCTTTTTATGTTTAATGGCCATGCATTTGTATCTCAAGAAGAATTTGTTTTGCTTTTTACCGGTGAGTATCTGCCTAAGTTGATGACACAGCCAAAGCCATGTCTTCAGGGTCATGCTTAAGAAAGCCAGTCATTAGGCATGAAGACTGTTATGAAGAACATAGGTTTTCTTCACTGGAGAGGTGGAAAGGTCTCCCAGAAAATGGGGCTGTGTTACTTCAACGTGAGGAGCATATCTGGTGGCCTGTGAGAGGCCATGTGCTTGCCTCATCTATGGATAGCACATGCAAAACTATGGAGGACTTCTCAGTTTAGTTCCCTTCCCTCAGAGCAGAGCTGCAAAGAGACCAAATAAGCAGCACGTAATCTAGAATAGCATGGGCTATCACAGTTTCCTAATAAGACTCCAGAAATCTTTACATAGAGTTTTCTGGGCTATATAGTTAATGAGAAAGAATTTCAAGGCAGAGACAGGAGGGATGTTGGGATGTTCTCCAGATCTTAAAAAAAAAAAATCACTAGCAGCCACAACAATCTAAAGCAGGCACAGCTCCTACCACATGATAAGGATGTAGGTTCCAGAAAATGATGCTCCATCAGTGAGGACACACTCAGTGGAAACGGCCCCTACTGTGTGCTATGTCTGGCTTCAGGCACAGGCTGCGCATGATTTTTGCCTCATACAACCTGAGTGGAATCTTAGGATCTGAGACACAGGAAGAAACAACCAAGCCACCCCACCCTAGAGGCAATCTTCCATGAGAATCATCTACCCATAGAAGAAACACCCAACCTCCCAGGGTGACCCTCATTCATGAAGCCACCCACACTACTACCTGGCATACACTTTCGCTTTCTCTCATACTCTGGCTTCTTAAATTAACTTTTCTTGCTGGGCTTTTGTGCACATCCTGTAAGTTCTTTTATCAATGAGATTGAGAACCTAGACTGAAAAGGGTCTGACTTCCCCAGCTGGCCTCATTCATACCTCATGACCTTTTATTTTCTCACCAAAGTACAATGAAGCATTATACATTATACCTAAGCTTTCTTAGTGCAATCATATAACAAAATTGGCCTCAAATACAATGAGCTCAGCTGTTGGTAAATCAAGAGTAGTCTTCATTGATTACTTATGATCACACTATTTCATGATCCATATTGCTTGTCTAAGCTGAACTTCCCAAAGAGCCTGTGACATTTTGGAAGGGAACTGCCCAGACTTGGACTTGAAGTCTCCGTGTACTTGCAGGAGCCCTTGCCCACATGGCTAGCAAAGATGATACTGTCTCTTGCCTTGTTCACTCCCTCAATTGTAGGAAGCTTCTTGCACTGGGAGACATGAGTTCACAAGCACACTCATTCACCAGCATATGTGTGGTGCTTTTTCAAGGCTCGGTGCTAAAGATGCTCAGTGCCACTGTAGGCAAACTTAAACTTGGGTTTTAGAAAGGGGGAGCGGCCACTGAGGCCAGATTAGTTCTGCATTAGAAAGCATGCCAGGAAATCCTAATAGTCCCCGCCCTCTCAACCCTGGCCTGGGAACACCAGCCGGGGCATTCTCTTTCATCTGTCCCTTGGCTTTATGCTGGGCTCCAGCAGAATGTATTTGCTGAAGAAAGGCTTAGGGGAGAAAGCTCTCCTCAGTACCTCTGCAGTTTCTGTGATGTTTGGTCTTGAGAGGTTCAAAGGATTCTAGAGTTTACAGTTGGAGGGAGATAAACCCAAGGGCAGGTTGCAGAGATGCTGAAAACCTGCCCCTCCCGTGCCAGAGCTAAACTACCTCTAAAAGAGGCCAGAACACAGTTTGCTCCAACAGATTTCTGCTAAACGCCTCTCTGCTCTTCTTTTTCTCTTTAATGGTAGACAGCTTTTCCTCTCATAGTCCCTACCCACATTGGAGAGCTTACATGCCAAGTGAGCCCATATTCCCTTCATGGAACGCAACAGCTCTGTCACAAGCTTGGCTCCGGGACAAGGAGACAGGCATGGCCATGAAAGCCTGCCCTGACCTCTGAACTCTGGTCTACTCACCGTTCTTTTCTGCCTTCGGCTTCGGAGGCTCAGGCTCAGGCAGACACGGACAGGGCCCATCGCAGAGGGAGGTGAGGCTTTTGCCTGTAGAACAAGCATGGAACTCCAACTTGCACTGCAAGAGAGAGACAGAATGGACCATGAGAACATGGTGAGCATGGGTGCACGCTCAGCTCTCCCTGGAGCAGCTGGTAGCCTTGCTTTCAGGGAACGAAGGTAGAGAAGGAGAGGCCTCTGCTGTTAGTGGCCTGGCTTTCAGAACACTGGACTTGGGATTGGCCTTTCATAGTTTTTACAAAATACAGCAAAAGAACTGGGAAGTGAATTTGAATTAACAGTAGGCTCAGTTGTCATCATTTAAAAACTACAATGATTATGTGGAGTTGTATCTGACCCAGGAAGCCTTCCCACCTCAGCTCTGAAGACTTCCCAGCTAATCCTTGCACACTGAGCAAGCACTTGAGCAAGCAAGGAATGCAACCACAGAGCAAGCAAGGTTCTTAGCAACCTGATGTCTCATGACTGTGATAGACGCCCATCAAACAACATAAAAGGAGGAGGACTTGTTTTGCTCATGGCTTCAACCCATCATGGTGGCACACTGTGGTGGAATTGCTAGCCTTATGGTGGACAAGAAGCAGAGCAGGGAAGAGGGGAGCCCAGGACAGGACAGAAGACGCAGGCTGCAGGGAATCTCTCAACTGGCTCACTTCCTCCAACCAGCTCTCATTTCTCCAGACTCTCCGAAAATAGCATTATCAGTTGGAGACCAAACATTCAACATATGAGCCTAGGAGGGACACTCCTTATGTGAGCCTATGAGGGACATAATATATTCAAACCAAAACAAAGCACAGCCCTCTTTTCCAAGTCTGGAGGGGGGTCTGAGGTGCTCAACCCGCCCCTTCCTTTGGGAGCAATGTGCAATGGAAGCCTGTGGCTCTGTCTAGAGCAGAACTTATGTGGATCTTTTGTGGCTAGAGGCCTGGGATAGAATGGGAGTGTCTACCTAAGTCTGGGACTCAGTGTCAGAAGTCCACGAGCTGCAACCTTCTGTCCTGTTTGGTCAGCAACAACGGTAGCTCTTGGGTCCCTTTGTCCTAACTCTTTGCATTTAAGTCTCAACAGAGTCAAAACACAGTGGGAGGGGAGACAGTGTTTACAGGTATCTTAGACCACAGGGGCACCAGCATTCTTATTACTTGATATTATGGAATAAGAAATTGAGGCTCTTGGAGGTTAAACAACTCATAAAAGACATTAGCACGCAGTCAAATGCATGGCTGACTTCAGAGCCAAGCCCTTAAGGGTCCTGAGATAGTTTCTGTCACGTGGCTGAGGTTCAGAGCTCTGAACATATACAGAGTGTGGCTGATCTGTACCTTTGCCTTTGGCCCAGGTGTGTTATCTGAATTTCCTTCCTTTCTGCCTGTCGAATTTCCAGGATCAAGGCTTGCATATAATCAGTCTCCTGCAAAGGCCCAGGGCCTAGGAACCCGGTGGAGGGTCTCGGGGAGGAGACAGACAGTGCTGCCTACCCACTCACTCAGCATGCAGTTCTTAAGTTCTTATCAGGAAGCATGGAGAATCCGCTGAGAAAGGGAAGAGCAGATGCGGTCCTTGCCTTGGAGAACACAAAGCATTTTAGGAGGAGCCTCCAACATTTGAAAAGCAACTGGCTGCAGTACATGTGAACATGGGCTCACTGTGAGAGGATGAGACATTCAGTCCCCAGACTAAGTACAAACCCAGGCAAATAGCGCCTTAAATCCAGTGCTAAAGGTCCTACCATTGCTGGGTATAACTCGAGCTGTCACCCATCTAAGGAGCAATGGCAAAGTGAGTGTACAGAAAGCAAACTCCCTCTTGATCCAAAGCTCCCTTCTTTACATGATCCTGAAATGCCTAGCATGTGACCAGTATGGTCATGCGACCAGTGTGGCTAAAGGACTCTGGGGCTCTTTGTGAAATGAAGTCAGGCCAGGGCTGCAAACATCGCTTGCTCTGACTTTGGAGTAAATTAGAGCGCATTCATCTAAAACCATGTGGACAGTACTGTGGTGAGGCCAGAGCAGAAAGACCTCTGGGTGTGAGATGTAGCTGCAGGCAGCTGGATGAGCTGGAGGAAAGCCGAAAGGTCACTGTCCACTTTCTCTTCAAATAGCGCCATGCCCTCATTTCTTTCTGTTGCTGTAAGAAACACTAACGGCTGACAACCTGGGGAGGAAAGGCTTGGTTTGGCTCACAGGTCACAGCCCATCACAAGGAGAAGCCAAGGCAGCAACCCAGAGGCCTTGCTCCCTACCGCTCACTCAGCCTATGCAGGACCACCTACCCAGAGGTGGTGTCCCTCAGAGTGGGTTGGGCACTCCTACACCAACTGTTAATCAAGAAAGTGCCATTCTGATGGAAGCCATCCCTCACTTACAGTTCCCTCTTCTCAGGTGACTCCAGCTTTCTTAAGTTGACAAAAACTAAGCCACATACACACACACAGAGGGAGGGAGAGAGAGAAAGATAGAGAGAAAATAAGTATGTGCAGCTGACTTCCTTCTCTTTCTCTTCTCCCTTCTCCTCTTCCTCTGGGTTGGTTCTCTGTAATGACCCTCAGTTTCACATTGGAGGCTTACAAACTAGTTTTTAGAGAGACTCTCTAAATCTTATGTAGGCAAAAATGCTATTTTATGCATAGACTTCTTTTATAAAGTTCACATTATCACCTGAATTCATCGTAAGGCCTTCTCAGGTTAGTGTTGTAACTGCCCGCTTATGTGCGTTACAGACTCAATTATTTCCCCTCACCAAACTCCACCCTCCTTGAGGGGGAATCTCCACATTGCTCATGCCCTGTGACCCAGCACCTACCTACCCCCTTGCCCCATAGTCCCAGCACTGCCACATGATGGACTCTGACAGATACGGATGGCTCTGCAGCAAAAGTGAAGGAGCGGGTTCCAGCAGACACTTCAGCTCCATTTCACCTGAGCTTCCCATCAAGCTTTGCAAAGGTCACATGCCACAGAAGAGCTGTTTTGTCTGCCAGAGACTCAGAAGGCAGGGGAGCAGACCTTAGGCTCACATGGGGCTGTTGTACGCATGCGTGTGTGTGTGTGTGTGTGTGTGTGTGTGTGTGTGTGTGTGTGCACGCTAGCTGGCGTCCTTCTAGACCACAGAGTACAGCAAGGACAACCCCACTTCCTGTCTTTTCTCTGATGCAATGTGACCCACAATAAGGCTGGCACACAGTGGGTGTTCAAGAACAGAACACTAAGCAAAAGGGAGGAAGAGTAGTAATGCACATTCCTCAAACTGCAAACTTGTGTCCGTCCAGGAGGTTCCCAGCCCACCAACACAAGAACCTTAGGAAGCTGCTACTCTGTCTCAGCTGCTTACCCCACCCTACAGACTCTTGTTCAGCACCTGAGCCTCATGCTCAGCCCAGGTCACTCACAGAGTCAGCCTACTCCACCTGCCATTTCTGATGTGCCCTGCATGACCAGGACCTGCAGGCAAGACCTCTTGCAATTCAGCCTGCTCGGCTGGTAGCAGCAGCAGCTCCCATGTTCCCCTGGCAACAGTCTGAAGAGATAGCTGCCCTCTCTGTATCCCAGACTGAGAGCCACCTGCGCCAGTCAAATTCAGGGTTCAAGGGTGCTTTTCTATTTTCTTGGAACATATGTAACATGTAAATGAAGCTCAAAAGGCTGGTGAACTGGCTCAGCAACTAAGTGAACTTGCCGCTCTTCTAGAGGGCCTGAGTTTGATTTCCAGCACGCACATAGTAGGTCACAACCTTCTGCAACACTAGTTCCAGGGCATTCAATGCCCTCTTCTGGCTTATATGGGTACCAGGTAGTCCCCTGGTACATCGGCATTCATGTAAGCAAAACAATTCATGTCGAAACACCCACACACATAAAACAAGAATAAATTTGTAAAACTTTAAATGTCTGCAAGCTCACCATTTTATTTGAATCTTTTAAAACTTCCATTTGAATTTAAAAATTCAAAACAGGCTATACAGACAGACAGAGATACTAAAAATCCATAACGCGTGTGACAAATGCCATCAAGGTAGGCAAGGTAGGAGGTGACCTCCCTAGCAGGGCAGGGCGCACAGAAGCATCACAAAAATGGGTGGTTTGTTTCACATTTTAATTCATCTTTTTTCTTTTTAACCTTGCTTGTGGATTTAACAGCTTCTATAAATAATACACACTTTTTTTTTTAATGCATCAAACATTTTCTAATGAGGTATAAGCAAAGTCTAGAGGCTTCTCCGGAGGTAGAAGCAGCTCCCCCTGGAAGGGGTGCGCACCTGTGGGGAGCCCTCAGCGAACACGTGGTGGGGGGTGCTGAAGCTCTGACTTGGGGTACTGAGTCACAACCGGGCAGAGGTGTTCCTGGGGCCTGAGACTCGAGACCAGGGCATCTCGCAAACTTTGCCTTCCAGAGGATCTTCCCTAACCCATCTCACAGAAGTAAGCCTCCCACACACAATACCTTCCTCCGCCGGCATCAGGCTGTTGCCAGGGCAGAGACGACAGAGAGGCTGAAATGGTCTCCATGCCAGCCTTACCCAGAGGGGCCAAGCGGCTCCCAGAGAGAAAGAGCCTGCTGGGCAGGCTCTACAATGCCAGTGAGGCTCTATCGCCAGGCAGGTGGTCATCATGCTCTCTCAAGCTTCAGGGTACAGGCCCAATGTGGCCCTCGCTGACTGCTCAGAGCCAACTGTACAGTGCAAACACTCATCCTGGTTTGGGAACAATCACGAGGCAGGTATGCTGTGACCTTAAGCCAGGCCTGCTGAGAGAACAGGAGCCAAAGGGGAAAGAGGTTGCTGAGAGCTTTCCACTGCTCGCCACTCGAAAGAGGGACGCAGCCCAAGAGATGCTGGGCTTCCTCCGGCTAGGCAGATACAGCCATGGTTTATCCTCCGGCTATCAGGGGGGTACTACAGCTCCCTCCTGACTTTAGGACAAAATGACAGGGCTGAGAACCTCTTCTATGGTGTCTGTAACTATGGATGTTGATTTCTGTGCCATGAGAAATCTGGCCAAGCAGCCTCTACCTGTCCCCTCTAGACCCTGTGGGGTGAGAATCGAGGCACCTAGA